TCATGATATCAATATGAAACCCAGGGCTAGGTGCCTATTACGACTGCTTTGCGAACGTCACCTTTATTCGGTGGTTCCACTTGATGAATACAGGTACACTTTCCATAGTAAATGTAACAAAGTAAAAACATTAATTGACTACGTCTTTATAGATATTGATTCACTAAGCAGTGTTACTGGATATGCCATAGACACTAGCATTCCGTATAACATCTCAGATCACCTACCAATACTCGTTTGTATTCGTCTCCCTGTAAATATTGGGAATTATCATGGAGAGAACCTAAACTGGACTAAGGCTAGTGAAATTGACCTAATGCTATATCGATACGAAACGGAAAACTACTTCCGCGACACTCAAATTAACAACGCTCACTTTGATAGCAATGCAGAATATATTGAATACTACTGTGACTTTATCACAGGTTCTCTACATGCCTCTGCCGCCGGTAGTATTCCATCCACACGCTTTAGACCCTATCTCAAACCTTACTGGAAGAAAGATGGTCTTAATAATTTACATAAAGAAATGCGAAATTATCGCCGACAATGGGTTACGAGTGGTAAAGTTAGAGACAAAAACGATGCTGCCTATGCAAAATATAAAGAAAGTAAACGTCTCTTCCGTAAGAAACATCGCCATGCTAAACACCAGTTATCTAAAGATAAATTTAATGAAATATACGCGGCAGCAGAAGTAGATGTCAAAGAATTCTACAAAACGACAAAACGCTACAAACGCTATAAAGGTAATACTGAAAAGCTTGTCTATGGCACTCAAACTTGTTACGAGGGAAAGGATATTTGCAACCTGTTTGGACTGTATTTTCATACACTAGCTACTCCTTGCCCTGATGTTAAATGTGACTATGCACATGCTCAGAATGTTAAAGAGCGAGTTGCTAATATTGAAACGATAGACGATATAGATAACGACACCAGATCTCCACTGCATTATCCATTCACTAAAGATGAAATCCATTGTGCAGTAAAACGACTTAAAGCTCGAAAGTCGCCTGGTCCTGACGGTATTGTAAATGAGCATATAAAGAAGGCTGGTAGATCTCTGATGTATCATATTGCCTTACTATTCAATGCCATGATCAACTTTGAATACATTCCAAAATCATTTTCTATAGGTCAAATTCTACCTATACACAAAGGCCATGGTAAACCAAAATATGACCCTGCCAATTATAGAGGAATAACAATGACGCCTGTATTAAGTAAACTCTTTGAAAGACTTCTTCTCAACAGAATAGAGTCGTGGGTAGATAATAACATAGAATTTCCCCATCCTTTGCAATTTGGATTTAGACGTCACTATGGTGCTGAAACGGCTGTACTTACGCTAACAGAAAATATTGCATATTACAATGAAAGGATGTCGCCCGTATACTGTGCATTCTTAGATAACGAAAAAGCATTTGATCGGGTATGGCTTGATGGATTATTTATTAAACTGTATGATATAGGAATAACGGGTAAACTATGGAGAATATTAAGGCTCTCCTACAGCTCTATGAAATCATTTGTATGTTTTGAAGGATTTAAGTCGGATGCCTTCCCCGTGAATCAAGGAGTAGGTCAAGGTAGAGTAATGTCCGCCTGGCTTTTCACGCTATTTATTAATGACCTCCTATATGAACTTGAAAACTCAGATTCTGGCTTAATTCTCCCATGGGGTAAATGCCCTGGGATCCTTCTTGCTGACGACACTACTTTATTGAGTATCTCAAATAAAGGCCTGCAAAATCTTCTTGATGTCGTTCAAAACTATGCTCACATGTGGCAGCTAAAATATAATGTAAGCAAGAGTGCAGTTCTATACTTTGGATGCCCAAACAATAAGGTTCAAACCACTAATGTATCAATTGGCGATATGCATGTTCCACAAATGAAATCTATTAAATATGCAGGTGTATATCTTAGTACAGATAAATCATCACTTGAACGTACAAAATCTGCATGTGAAAAGTTACGTGTACTCATCAACACTAACCATGACAATGGGCTGTACTTTGGTGGCCTGAATCCTTTATCTGCAGCACGTATCTGGGAGAGGGTAATCTTGTCATGTGGCCTCTATGGATGCAGCGTATGGGGTAAACTTCCTCTTAGAGTGTATGAAATGCTTGAAGTCGTACAACGTCAATTTTGTAAAAAAGTTCAGGGACTACACAGGCGCACTCCCAGTATTGTTGTATTGGATGCTATCGGCATCTTGCCACTACAGTATTACATAGATAAAAGAGCACTCAACTTCTTAGGAAAGCTATGCAATACAAAGTGTAACTGTGTTTTTAAAGTTATGTTTCTAGTTCGCCTGGGTCAATTTATGTGTACAGATAGTTTTACATGCAATGTATGGAGTAGAAAATCTCCGATATATAATATGCTACAACTTGTACAGAAGTATAACCTAAGTAATACACTTGTTAACTATGTCAATAATTGTCAATTTATTAAAAAGAAATGCTGGTCCAAGGCCGTGAATGATGCTATTAAATCTCATCGAGATGATGTATTTTATGTCCATCTTAATTCAAGACTCAGTCTGTCAAGATATGTTAGAATAAGATCAAGTACTGAACACTATCTCTGGAAACTAGCCCTGGAGAAGTATGACCATTTAACTAATATTGCAAGGCTTGTATTCTATGGATCAGCTGAAATTGTCTCTAGAGAATGCTATTGTAAAACTGTTGCCAATGATATTGTAAAGCACGTGTTTATGTCCTGCACGATCAATATGAATGACCGAAATTTACTTTTTAACACCATATGTGATATCATGGATGTAAATGTTTTTGTTAAGATTTGGGAGAAAGATGATGATATTATTCTTGCGTTCTTACTTGGTGGGTGTCCAATAGAATGTATTATGGAGCTAGAAAGAGATGTGTGGGCAGAAGTAATAATTAATGTAAGCCGCTTTATAAGGAAATGGCAACACCTGCTAGAAAACTTGTATGTTTATGCACATGTGTAAATATACTCCCAATTCATGTTAAACATGTAACATAACCATACCTGCATATTGTAATCTTCATTCAATTGGAGGAAATAAAGAATATCTATCTATCTGTTGTAGAATTTACCTTGCCGAGTGTATTCATGTTGAAGAATCTACCTTGCCCAGTGCATTCATGTTGTAGAATCTACCTTGCCCAGTATATTCATGTTGTAGAATCTACTTTGCCCAGTGTATTCATGTTGTAGAATTTACCTTGCCCAGTGCATTCATGTTGTAGAATTTACCTTGCCCAGTGCATTCATATTGTAGAATCTACCTTGCCCAGTGTATTCATGTGGTAAATCTACCTTGCCCAGTGTATTCATGTTGTGGAATCTACTTTGCCCAGTGCATTCATGCTGTAGAATCTACCTTGCCCAGTGTATTCATGTTGTGGAATCTACCTTGCCCAGTGTATTCATGTTGTAGAATCTACCTTGCCCAGTGTTTTCATGTTGTAGAATCTACGTTGCCCATTGTATTCTTGTTGTAGAATCGCTGAGATCCACCTTTCTTTTGGGTCACATTCGTGTCAGTTATTTTGTCTTCAGTTTATCATTTAATTAATCTTCAAATAAATACAAGATACTGAAGATAGAGTGCAAAATCATACGTTTGAATCTAAAAATCGAGTTGGACGAGGACACGCAGTTTTCATATATGAAATGAAAAGAAAATAATATTCATCAAACAAGCAAATACCCGTGACAAGACATTTGAAATTTGTGTAAAATATCCCATGATTAGCAAAAGTAAAATTCACACTTAAAAATAAATATCAATATCATTAATATGCAGTGAATATATATTAAACAACTGCTTTTTCAAAATATTATTTATTATTCTTATTTCCCATCCATGCTTTCTTGAAGCCCCCCTTCTTTCTGTGTTTTGAAAAGGTAGTCATAACATCCTTTGTAATGGTAGAAAAACAAAAATATGAAGGATACATTTAGGATTTTACAAAAAGCTCCCATAAATATATGTGTGTGAGTGAGTTGGGTTTAACAACGCTTTTAACAGTTTTCCAGTTATATCGCAGCGTGTCAGCTTAATGTGGGAGGACTGCCCCAAGTGATGCAGGTCTCAGACATTTACCACTTCGGTGAAACCCACGAGCATGGGTATGGCGCTGACAAACCTAGAAACATAGTCGGGGCGAACCGGGATTCGAACCCACAATCATAGGTTTCGGGCGTGCCCAATAGACATAACCCTGCACAGCGAATCACGGCGCCTTAGACGACTGGGCCACCTGTGCCCCCCCCTAAATATATGAAGACCATACATTGACGTGTTATGTCATAAGGGAATATTATATTTTTTTATCTTAATTTTCATAATAACTATGTCACTAAATCTGGAGCCAAGTTTATGAATGTAATTTCTTGTATTTCAATACCTTAAAAAACATAAGTAGGTATTTCTCTAGGTGCAATATCAAACAATTCCTAAATCATGACAGTATCAAGTCTGACAAAAATATATACCACCATTCTGGTAATCGTACCTTCAAATAATGTGGACCTTTCTTAAAACTTGCAAGGTGTGTGTTGTGTGTTGTAACCGGTCCACTTATTGTATGCGCAGCAAGCTTGCAAACAACTGTAGATAGGAGTCGAGTTTAACATATTGAAGGTTTTAATCTAAGCTAATATCGCAGTCTTAAATCCAAGCCGTCTTACAATCTCACTAAAATCAGTTTGTGCAAGTGGAATAGGACAATTGTATGGTGATTGTAGAGTTGATTGTAGGCGCCTAAGATTGATTGATACTAAGATTGTTCTGTGCAATTGGACCTAGGTGTTAAATAAGTGAGTGATTGAGTGAGTATGGGTTTACGTTGCTTTTAGCAATATTACAGCAATATCACTGCGGGGGACACCAGAAATGGGTCTCACACATTGTACCCATGTTGGGAATCGAACCAACACGTCTAGGCTACCCGACCGCCCCAGGTGTTAAATAAGGCAACAAAGGATACTGTCAATGGACTTGTTATAGAAGAGTGGAGAATTCTGTGCCTCTGTGACATCTAGACTGTAATTCTTGATGTGGCGATGGTAGCTTAGGATAAGGGTACACCATGCTTCCAGCTGTTTCTTCCTTGTTTCCTGATTGGGCTGAATGCTGGAACACCAAAGAGATAAACAAATTCAGGTATATATTGAAATGAACACAAAATGCCTCATTGAAAGGCTAGGTTATTTATCCCTATTGTGTCTGCACCTATTATGAATGACAAGAATAACAAGCATGAACAAGTGACAGAAACTGTGGACCATTCTTGAACCAATGAACAGGCGCATGGTGCTGACAGACCAAAGAACAAATTTAGGGCAAACTGGATCCCATCACCAGATCAAAACACATCTCCTGGATCCAACAACACTGATACATGAATACACTGGGCAAGGTAGATTCTACAACATGAATACACTGGGCAAGGTAGATTCTACAACATGAATACACTGGGCAAGGTAGATTCTACAACATGAATACACTGGGCAAGGTAGATTCTACAGCATGAATACACTGGGCAAGGTAGATTCTACAACATGAATACACTGGGCATGGTAGATTCTACAACATGAATACACTTGGCAAGGTAGATTCTACAACATGAATACACTGGGCAAGGTAGATTCTACAACATGAATGCACTGGGCAAGGTAGATTCTACAACATGACTACACTGGGCAAGGTAGATTCTACAGCATGAATACACTGGGCAAGGTAGATTCTACAAAATGAATACACTGGGCAAGGTAGATTCCACAACATGAATACACAGGGGTAAGGTAAATTCTACAACATGAATACACTGGGCAAGGTAGATTCTACAACAAGAATACACTGGGCAAGGTAGATTCTACAAAATGAATCCCCTGGGCAAGGTAGATTCCACAACATGAATACACTGGGCAAGGTAGATTCTACAACATGAATACACTGGGCAAAGTAGATTCCACAACATGAATACACTGGGCAAGGTAGATTCCACAACATGAATACACTGGGCAAGGTAGATTCTACAACATGAATACACTGGGCAAGGTAGATTCTACAGCATGAATGCACTGGGCAAGGTAGATTCTACAGCATGAATACACTGCACAAGGTAGATTCTACAACATGAATACACTGGGCAAGGTAGATTCCACAACATGAATACACTGGGTAAGGTAAATTCTACAACATGAATACACTGGGCAAGTTGGATTCTACAACATGAATACACTGGGCAAGGTAGATTCTACAACATGAATCCCCTGGGCAAGGTAGATTCCACAACATGAATACACTGGGCAAGGTAGATTCTACAACATGAATACACTAGGCAAAGTAGATTCCACAACATGAATACACTGGGCAAGGTAGATTCCACAACATGAATACACTGGGCAAGGTAGATTCTACAACATGAATACACTGGGCAAGGTAGATTCTACAGCATGAATGCACTGGGTAAGGTAGATTCTACAGCATGAATACACTGGGCAAGGTAGATTCTACAACATGAATACACTGGGCAAGGTAGATTCTACAACATGAATGCACTGGGCAAGGTAGAATCTACAACATGAATACACTGGGCAAGGTAGATTTTACAACATGAATACACTGGGCAAGGTAGATTCTACAACATGAATCCCCTGGGCAAGGTAGATTCTACAGCATGAATGCACTGGGCAAGGTAGATTCTACAGCATGAATACACTGGGCAAGGTAGATTCTACAACATGAATACACTGGGCAAGGTAGATTCTACAACATGAATACACTGGGCAAGGTAGATTCTACAACATGAATGCACTGGGCAAGGTAGATTCTACAACATGACTACACTGGGCAAGGTAGATTCTACAGCATGAATACACTGGGCAAGGTAGATTCTACAAAATGAATACACTGGGCAACGTAGATTCCACAACATGAATACACTGGGTAAGGTAAATTCTACAACATGAATACACTGGGCAAGGTAGATTCTACAACATGAATACACTGGGCATGGTAGATTCTACAACATGAATACACTGGGCAAGGTAGATTCTACAGCATGAATACACTGGGCAAGGTAGATTCTACAACATGAATACACTGGGCAAGGTAGATTCTACAACATGAATACACTGGGCAAGGTAGATTCTACAGCATGAATGCACTGGGCAAGGTAGATTCTAAAGCATGAATACACTGGGCAAGGTAGATTCTACAACATGAATACATTTGGCAAGGTAGATTCTGCAACATGAATGCACTGGGCAAGGTATATTCCCCAACATGAATACACTGGGCAAGGTAGATTCTACAACATGAATGCACTGGGCAAGGTAGATTTTACAACATGAATACACTGGGCAAGGTAGATTCTACAACATGAATACACTGGGCAAGGTACAACATGAATACACTGGGCAAGATAGATTCTACAACATGAATACACTGGGCAAGGTAGATTCTACAACATGAATCCCCTGGGCAAGGTAGATTTTACAACATGAATACACTGGGCAAGGTAGATTCTACAACATGAATACACTGGGCAAGGTAGATTCTACAACATGAATGCACTGGGCAAGGTAGATTCTAAAACATGAATGCACTGGGCAAGGTAGATTCTACAACATGAATGCACTGGGCATGGTAGATTCTACAACATGAATACACTGGGCAAGGTAGATTCTACAACATGAATACACTGGGAAAGGTAGATTCTACAGCATGAATACACTGGGCAAGGTAGATTCTACAACATGAATACACTGGGCAAGGTAGATTCTACAACATGAATACACTGGGCAAGGTAGATTCTACAGCATGAATGCACTGGGCAAGGTAGATTCTACAGCATGAATACACTGGGCAAGGTAGATTCTACAACATGAATACACTGGGCATGGTAGATTCTACAACATGAATACACTGGGCAAGGTAGATTCTACAACATGAATACACTGGGCAAAGTAGATTCTACAACATGAATACACTGGGCAAGGTAGATTCTACAACATGAATACACTGGGCAAGGTAGATTCTACAACATGAATACACTGGGCAAGGTAGATTCTACAGCATGAATGCACTGGGCAAGGTAGATTCTAAAGCATGAATGCACTGGGCAAGGTAGATTCTACAACATGAATACACTGGGCAAGGTAGATTCTGCAACATGAATGCACTGGGCAAGGTAGATTCCCCAACATGAATACACTGGGCAAGGTAGATTCTACAACATGAATGCACTGGGCAAGGTAGATTCTACAACATGAATCCCCTGGGCAAGGTAGATTCTACAGCATGAATGCACTGGGCAAGGTAGATTCTACAGCATGAATACACTGGGCAAGGTAGATTCTACAACATGAATACACTGGGCATGGTAGATTCTACAACATGAATACACTGGGCAAGGTAGATTCTACAACATGAATACACTCGGCAAGGTAGATTCTACAGCATGAATACACTGGGCAAGGTAGATTCTACAACATGAATACACTGGGCAAGGTAGATTCTACAACATGAATACACTGGGCAAGGTAGATTGGAACCTACGAGAAATGAATTTTATCGCTATTCCTGCCAGTCCCGAGACTCCAGCGGCTATTTCCATGCCGAGCACGATAGGCGCGGCGATTATAGTTGATAGTAAACCGACACCCGCTTCACCGAGTCCCATGCCAGCTGCTACAAGCGCGGTGTCAACTCCGTCCAGAGCATTCACGGCCCTGCGATACTTTTTATACAATCCAAGTCTCAACTCCCTATCCTTGTCTATTCGATGTTTTATGTCGCTTATTTGATGTAATCGAAATCCATCAACAGTTTCCATCTTTTCAATTGCTTCATCGAGCGCTGGATATAAACCCATAGTGTATATTACGATCATATAATAGTCTTTAATTGGTCTTGCTTAATTGTTTTGAGATTATACATCAACCTTATTACATGTATATTAAACAGCAAGAATATCTTAGTAAGAGAAATACTACCACTTTTAATAATTTGGACCCCCTCGAGGGTTGCAACGGGCGATGCTCCGATATGAATAATACTGCAACGTTGACGCTCGTGTTTCTGGAGCCATTTAATCGATAGACCTGGTAATATTTCGAAGGCATCTACCAGTACATCTCCGAACAAGACTTCAATAATAAGAGTAGAAATATTAGGTATTGCACTCAGGTTAACTTTAATATCTTCGAATTCAGTAACCAAATTTAAAGTAACACTTTTTAAGGCCGGACGACTATATAACATATGACCTGGGTTTTCTGGCAGGGGGGTAACTAACACACTTTTTCGTTTTGATGGGATATAAGCCGCGAGTACGATGCCACTATTATCTTAGTTAAATTATGTCCCTTACCCATCATCACATGAGGTGGGGTAATGACGATATTCAGTAGCCACTCGATGTTTGCGTCGACCATAGTCCATTTATTATCGTTGTTGCGAATAATATTGTGCGAAGTGTTTTTAAGGTGTCTACTAACGTCGACATCGCTTAAATCTTCTAGATTACCCGTGAATGTGACTTCTTTCCGCTTGTATACATTATCGTGTAAGTGTAAAGCGTATAACTTACCATTGGTACCGAGTTTCACTGGAATAGATCTGAGCAGAGTTGAAGGACTTTCTAGTTGAATATTATCCGTCGTACTGATTTGATCAAGATGGATGCACAACTCTTTATAGGGAACTAAATCGGGAAATTTAACCCCCTGATCTGATGTCTTGTATATTATGCCAATTAAGCGTGCAAATCCAAGTGTAACTGATAAGTTCGTGTAAATCTTTACATTCTTTTCTCCAGTGTCTAATTTCAGTAACCCATTCGACTCATTTTGTGTGAGACTAATTCCATTAGGCTTAAAAATTTCATCATTGAGTGAGCATACGCTGTAATACCCATCAGGTATAGTAATTATTTCGGGAATACTAACTCCATCAACTATATGTATCAAATTATTTCTTTTCGCAGCACTTATATTGGTCCACAGCGGGTAATACGTTACATCGCATAGAGCTACTTCGAGTTGTCCATCCGAGTTATCGATAGTATGAAGCAGTTCAATAGACTGACCATTTGTTATTCCCGGGAGTGTAACATACATATTAAA